TTCATGCACCTGGAAGGACACTATTTGGGGGAGGGGGTGAAGGATGCTGGGACTAAAGCAGCTGCCTTTAATCCAGTCTGGCAAATCTGTTGCCCATTTTGTAGACAACACAGCAGCAATCCATCCGGTGCCCAGGGATTGTTAGTGTCAACAGGTTTTTCTGTAGATAAGATTCCCTTAACAGCAAAGGGCAAGGAAGTTACAGAGCAAAGATGGATTTCTACCACGGAATCCTGTGTATGGCTTGCAAGTTATGCCTCCTCGTTTAAGACTACACAAGCACCACCTAAGGTTTTCCATTAGCTGGAGCACTGCTGCTCACCCTCTATGTATGTATGTATCTGTGTAGAGTTGTTCTCTGAAATGAATGAGACCCCCATCAGTGGTGGGATTCAATAATTTTTACTACTGGTTCTGTGGGTGTGGCTTAGTGGGCATGGTGTGGTTTGTTGGGCGTGGTTTGGTGGGCATGGTGTGGTTTGGTGGGCATGGCAGGGAAAGGATACTGCAAAATCTCCCTACCCCACTAACCTGCTTTCCAGCTCAGTTCTCCTGGGCAGGGCAACCAAAGAAGACTCAGCCAATCAGCTGAGACTCGGGAGGCAGAGAGTAGTTGGAGGTGGGGCCAGTCAGAGGTGGTATTCTTAGCTACTCAAAATTTCCACTACTGGTTCTCCAAACTACTCAAAATTTCTGCTACCAGTTCTCCGGAACTGGTGAGAACCTGATGAATACCACCTCTGGACCCCACACAGTTTACAAGAAGTTGTTGGGAAGCCAACACCTTTCTATTTTAAAGCACCACTCTCTAGGCCCTGGGGTTTGCTGGCCAGTCTCTGGGGTATTGGTTCTATGTTGGCTTGTTCTTAAAACATTGTTGCTTCTTTGCCTGGACACAGTGGTGTGTTAACGGTTAAGCAGGTGCTTAGGGCACCAGGCCCAAAGGGGGCACCACAAAGTTGAGAATCTGGCTTCCTTTGTACAGTATGTGCAAAGCGGGGGGCATTAATCCCCTACTGCTGGACCGCAAGCACCGCTCCTCCGGTGTGCTTGAGCAAGCCGTTCCTCACCCACACGAGTTGGTTCCGGATGTTCTTGCTTCTGTCTTAGTCAACGGAACAAGAACGGCCTACCAGTGTAATGTAGGGACCGCGGACTGGGCTTTTCAAATTTAGGCAGAGGAGGTTCTCGGGCCTTTGGCAGGCGAGGCGGGGGTGGGCTGGGGTGGGGGGTGTTCAGCCGGCCCCAGCTCTCAGGGCTGGCGACTGTGGCGGCGGCGTGCCTGGCCGGCAGCAAAGGGAGCGTTTTCGCTCCGCGCCGGTCGCTCAGCTGGCCGGCCACGTCCCCCCTCCAGCAGCTCAACACAGCCCAGCAGCGATGATGAATGGGGATTTGCCATCGGACGCACCTGCTGCCGCGGCAAACAGAGTTTCGTTTTCTTCCCGCTTTGAACTCCCCGGGACGAGGGAAATCAAAGGGATTTTTGGGCGGTTAGGAAATCAGATAAAGGGGCTTCACCTGCCCCGTGGCCTCTCTGCTCAAAGGAGAGAGGCGTGGTGAGCTGTGCGGGAGTGGAAACTGGCGATCGCTCTGGTGAATCTCTCCCCCTCCTCCCCCCTCCCCATCTCTATCTCTGGGTCGGTCTGTCTCTCTCCCTCTCTTTCTCTCCCCCCCCCTCTCTCCATCTCTCTGCGCGGGAGGGAGAGCGAGGCTGGGGGAGATTCCCTGCGGGGGCGTTTAAAGAGCTGCGCTTATAGCCGCCAACCTTCTTGCTCCCAAGAGCAAGGTCAGAGACCAGGTTAGGGACAGACCGTCACGGAGAAAATCTATGTATCGCTAGGAGCCGAAGAGGACTTGATGGCACCTATCAATCAAGAGCAAGGAGCTGCTTTCCTCCGCGCGGGGCGGGAATTCCTTAGGACTCGACCCTGGGGTGTGTGGGAAGACCCCTCCTCCATTTGTCGGGAGGGGTATTATGTTGGGCCTATGCTCGCATGGTTCGTATTGAGGAAGCCCAGAACGGCAAAAGAAGAGCAGGGTGGACGTGGGCAAGTTGAGTGGTTTTCCATATGGAAGTGTTTTTAAATGTCCTTGTCTGGAGAAAATCGTTGGAGTAGGTAAAAACAGAAGAGATCAAACGCCACAATATAACCAAGCTTTCTCTAGATTGCGATGTGTTGTTGTTTTTTAATCACCAAGCACGATTTCTGACATGTGACTCTTGTGGATGTACATAGTTTTCATTGCTTTTTATGCTAGCCAAGGAGCGGCAGCTTCAAAGGAGATGACGTGCAGTCGGGTTGATTGACAAGCATATGCACGCTACCAACTGGGATTATGCTGGAGTTGGGTTTGGCGCACTCCTGGTTCTGTGAAATGGGTACCTGATGCCCCCTTCTACGTGGGGAAAGACTTTCCATGCTCAGATTTCTTCTACAGCTGGAATAGGCAGCATTTACATGGTCGAGGAGAGCCACACTTAGCAAGGGCTGCTGTGGGTGATCACTGATACACAGAGTGTGGCTGTATCAAACTGGGTAGGGATTTTCTTTTCTTGAAACGGGGGCGGGGGGGGGGGGGAGGATTCCCTTTTTGAACGCAGATTAGAACTAGAGGAACATGGCAACGATGTTTGTGCATCCACCTCCTCCCCCAATGTGTGGGAAGCCTGCCATCAATTATGGGTCACATGTGAATTCAGGAACTCCAGGGCTACAAGCGTGATATTTGGGGTGCAAAGCATTTAGCCGGAGCTCTCCTCCGCTAAGGCTTAATGAAGAAGTGTGTGAAGAAGTCCTGCAATAAAGCCTGTCCAGCTATCCATGGAGAAAGCTCTACCTATTGGTCAGCAAGACAAGGATGGACAGGATTGTCGCCTTATGTGGGCAAATGGGCAGTTTAAATAAGCAGCCAATAAACTACAAAAAAAAAATTGCAGCATTTTGGGTGAACTTTCCTGAATCTGAATTAATGCCAGCTGTACTAACATATTAGAACAGAACATACAGAAATGCATTTTTTCCCTTTTAAAATGTGGCTAGTGATAACATGGTGGTGGGGGATACTATTGTTACAGCACCCACTGTAGTATTTATATAGGTTATTCATACAGCAGCAACTAACAGACAAATGCTCTTTGATCTATCATACAAGGCAGAAGCTGGCACTTGAACAAGTGGTTTGCAAGTGAACAACCACTTGGCTCGTAGCTTTCTCTATTGGCTCATGGTTTGCTTTATCATGCAAGGCACCCTGAGGTTCTGCAAATAGGGGGACTATAATTCACACAGCACACTCTGCCTAGGTACTGAATTAACGCATTTTTCTTGGGTTCGCACAATACCTTGGGCAATATATTAACGCCCTGGACTCGATTTGGATAATATTCCAACAACAATAAAAAAACAACAACAGTATTGATATTTGCCAGGCTTTCTGTACTTATCAGGCCAATGGAATGACTAAACTTTTAAGGGACCTGACTGAATGTGTTGTGTGAACGCTGCCTGTACAGCGTGTATGACTAATGTCTATGTAGAAGGGGGGGGGAGGGTTTGTGAATGGAATGTGTGCGCGCGCTGTTTAGGTGTGTGTGCTCAAATGACAAATTGTGTGTATCTGAATGGAGTGTGTGCATAAGAGTGGCTCTGGGTGTGCATGCGGCCCCACCCACTGCTGGCACGAACCAGTCTTCCAAGTCAGTTTGGCACCCAGACAGAAATACGCTGAATATTCCACAGGCGCACTTGTATTGTCTTGACACTCCCTTGACCATTAGGTTAGCTGTGCGTTAGGTAAAGGGGTGGGGGGGGGGCGGGGGGAGAGAATAGAATCGGGGATATTAGAGTTCAACATGCTGAACTTCAGCTCCTTGCAGTCCCAGCCAGAATGGCCAGTTTGAAGGCAGGAGAATTGTAGTTCTGCCACATTTTGGAGGCACCAAATTGCATCTGCTATTAATCACTGCATTTTAAATAGCTTGAACCGGGTGAGGATGTTGAAATTGTCCCAAAGAGTTTCCGTTGGAAACTCTCCTTTGCTCTGATGAAAACGCCTATGACTTTTTGGGGATTACTACCCAGAGGATTTTTGGGAGGGCGCGCGCGCGCGCGCGCAGGCTTCGCATCCCATCTGCCAGTCTTAAGGCAAATAGCTAATGTAAGAGCGCCTACATCCAAGGCTTCAAGAGGACGGAGGGAATGGAGGTTAAAGATAAGCAGTGCGTCAAGGAAGGCTTAAAATGGAGCCCCTGCTTCCAGAAAGAAAGAAAAATTGGAGGCCTTTAGTGAACAGAGATGAAACCCGATTAAAAGACGGAAGGGAGGGGAAGGGGAAAGGGGGCAAACAATTCTAGCCTCTGCACGAGGAATGATCCCACGCCCCGGTGCTGCAAGGAAGCGGCTCCAGAAGCTGCCCCGCTGATGGAAACCGCCAGCGAGCAGGAAGGATCCAACAAACCCGGTTGGGAATCGAGGTGGGGGCTGGCGACGTAGAGGCGAGTCGTTTATGCCGGCGAAGTCAGGTTTTTGGTGATCTGGTTCGGGGCGGGTGGGAACTCAACTTCTGCCTTTTCTCCAGGCGGGCCCCCTCCTTGGAGAGAATCCGCGCTGGTCCTCCTTGCCCGGGCCGGCGGGAGATGGCGATCACGGTGCGCTCGGATCGGAATGCGCCGCTTGGCCCTCGCTCAGCCCCCTCCCCTCCCACTCCCTGCCTTTCGCCCTCCCCTCCCCGCGCTCCGCTTTGCCTGTCAAGGGGAAGCAGCCTCGCCGGCCGTCCCTCCCTCCCTCCCTCCCTGGCTCTTCTCCTCCTCCGCTTGGGACGGGGCTTGCGAGCAACCGCTCGTCCAGCCCAGCGAAGCCGGCTTTGCCCTGCGTGCGCTCTCCCTCTCTCTCTCTGCGCCTTCCGGGGCGCCCCGTGTGCGCCGCGCTGGAGAAGGGGTCGGCGGCCCCAACGGCCGGGATCATCCGGGCGCTTCTCGGAGTTGTTTCTTCGCTGCCAGGATGTGGTCCCAGCTGGGGCTTTTCTTCATCTTGCTCTGCCCAGCCAACATCATCGGACTCTGGTGGTGAGTAGTTGGGAAGCCGGAGGAGAGTTGCCGGGAAACGACTCAACGGAGCTCCCCAATCTCTCTCTGGAAGCTCCAGGCGCGGAGATCGGGGAAACCCCCCGGACTCAGGGGCGTTTGGAAGACCCCCGGGAGCCCCTTAGGCGGGGGAGGGTGCGCGCGTGCGGGGGCCAAGGAGAGCTTCCTAGAGAGCTGGAAGGTCTGGAGGCGAGAAGGGGGTTTGGGAAAACTCGGGGGAACCAGAAGCGTTTTCCAACTTAGCCCACCTCCTCTCCAGCCAGCCTCAAGCGCGCCTGGCCGGCCTGAAATGAAAAACCGATGGGAGCAGCTTCAAAGGGGGACGCTTGCACACTCGGAAGGGCTTATGCTGCAGCGTCAGCCTCCCTTGCACTCTGGGGCTCTCTAAGCGTTAGGACAGCTGGACGGTTGGGAGGAGAGAGACCCTCTAAGACTGTAAGAGAGCGCCCGTGCCCCGTGCATGAACGCCTGTCGCAAGCTAAACTCCCCCCTCCCCACGTGCCCTAAAACCCCCGCGGGTGGCTCCTGAAAGGACCGCCGAGGTGTTCTTTCATCACCCCGGGATGCATCTCCCTTCTGTCGCTCAGCTTCCGGGAAAAAGCCCTCCGGGTTCAAATTCTCTCTCTCTCTCACACACACACACAGAGCCCTCCATCTCCCGCAGCTTGGCTCCCCTCTCTCCGCCCCGTCCCAGGCCCTCGAGGATCTTAAGGTAAACGCCAGACGCTCCTGTTCGGATGGGAGCCGACGCCGGGCGAGCGTTTTGAGTTGTCCTCGGGCTACATTCCTACAGAAGGCAAGAGAAGGAGGGGGACTCGACCGAACCCTTGTCGAAAAGCTCCCAAGCTCTGGAGAAACAGGCGCTCTTTACTAAGAAGCTAACTTTTTAGTTTTTTTTAAAAAAAGTCCGGGTTCTAAGGAAAACGCAAGGGGGTTCCATTAGCACCCTGTCTGTGCCCCACTTGTGATGGGGCCTTCATCAAAGAATCTCCGGGTTGAGGGGAGATGACAAATCCAAGACAGCAGAGAAAGAGGGGCGGGTGCGGGTTCATGCCAAGAAAGGGCTGTAGCTGAGAGACCCAGCCTTTGGAAGCCTAGATATCTGTCCAAACATGACTTATTCAAATCTATTAAGAATTTCACCTAACCTGTCCTGATTCCCCTTTTAAGTGCTTTCCACCCTAACTTCCTTCCATGCGACCTAGAACGTAATCCATTAGTTAAGGTGATTCGTTTCAACATTGTCGCACACACTTGCCCGACACCTAGAATCAAGTGTGGGTTAATCCTTTCATGGCCTTCTTCCCTGCTGGTCCTGACTAGCAGACCAAGGTCATCTCAACCACCTGTTGATTGTTCCAGATAGCTTTAGGAAGAAAAAAAAAGCTCATATCCTTAAGACAAGGTTACGATTGCGCAGAAGGACAAGTGGACCTTTAACTCCCTTGAAAAAGTTCAAAGTAGGAATGGAACTTATACAATTTTATCAATTGATCATCCCATACAAAATCACTGTCAGGATGATCTGGAATTCGGGGCAGAGTTTACACTAGCTGGTATGGATAGAGATCATTTTTCCTGAAGAGGGGGGAAAAAAAGCCCTGTGGTATTTTGGTATTTGTCAATATATTTTATTTATTTCAATGTGGATGCTGCCAGATCCAACCAATTCAGTTTGGCGCACATGGATCAATCAATAACTATGCTGATATTGAACGGATTTATCCATCTGCTTTGCCCCAGACTGGGCTGATTCAGACATGCATGGCCATGATTAACCCACGTACAGTGACTGATAGCTGAAGAATGAACCAACTCCATTTACTAAAGCCATAGCTTTGTGAAACTCTGCTTGCTAATGGCTAATCTCTGAGGGTGATCTTGACATCAAGGGCTGACTTCCCATGGAGTGGTGTCTAGCCAGAACTGCATTTTCTTTGCTGTGCATAATGGAAGTCAATAAATCAACCTGATTCACACCTTATGCTGTCACAGTTTTTCTACACTGTGGTTTGGTTTGTGGTGTAAACCCAGCCTGTACTGGGTATAAACTATGATTTGAGTATAACATGTTTGGTGAGCATAATGATGAAGCAAATAATAACTTAGCAAAATATGTGACTCCTTCCATATCCAATGAAAAACACCCACAAACTTTTTTTTTGAGAAATGAGAAACAATCTTGCTTAGATGTATATAGATGTAAAAATCTGAATTTTGTGCAACAATACTCTGCCAGGGAAACCCAGATGTGTAATGACCAAATTGTTTCAATGTGTAATCTTTGACTTTGAAATACTGACATTCACCACAGAAATGCCAAGGGCACTGTCACCCCCAGGATCTGAGCCAGGTCTTCCTGGATGAATCTCAGCACTGGTCCTGCCAGTTCAGGCACAGATTTTGTTTGAGTTTAGTATGCCAAGAACCTTCTTAGACAGCTGAATGGAGGAAAGAGGATGGGACCACTGACTTTCTAGAGCAGGGGTGTCAAACTCAAGGCCCACAGGCTGGATCTGGCCTGTGGGGGCTTAGATTTGGCCCACGGGGCTGGCCTGGAAACAGGAAAGGACTGGCCTGCAGTGCCTCTGCCAGTGAAAATGGAGCTTGGGGGAGCTGTGTGCGGCTCCCACGGGCTCCATTTTCGCTGGCAGAGGGCTAGCAAAACAAACTAAAAGCAAAACAAAAGGAGAAATGTTTCCCCTTTTGCATTTGAGCAATGCAAGAAGGGACAGGAAAGGAGAAAGGGAAAGAGGGAAAAACAAAGAAAAAGAAGGGAAGATGGGAAGAGAGCAAGGAAGGAAAAAAGGAAAGAGGGGAAGGAAAAAGAAAGGAGAAGGAAGAGGGGAGGAAGGAAGGAAAGAAGGAAGATAGATTATGAGAGGGAGGGAGGGTCTCAGGGAAGTCCTGCCTGAGAGTTTGGCCACCACAGGTGCCCCCCAAACACAAGTGATGTCGAGCTGGCCATGCCCATCTCTGGCCATGCCCCCCCCAGCCCTCCGAGGTCAAACACAATCCTGATGCGACTCTCAATGAAATTGAGTTTGACACCCCTGTTCTAGAGCAGAGGCCCCCAAACTTGGCAACTTTAAGACTTGTGGACTACAACTCCCAGAAGCTAATGCTGGCTGGAGAATTCTGAGAGTTGAGGTCCACAAGACTTAAAGTTGCCAAGTTTGGGGACCCCCGTTCTAGACGATGAGTTGGGGTACATGAGTTGGGGTACAATAACTTACTTGGGCAAGTAATCTTATCAATCTCTAAGGGACTGGTTTTCATGCAATATGAAACTAATAATGCTAGTAATGGGGCCATCTGCCAGTTACAACTTCTACAGTGATGTGACCCTGTGCTACTCCAGCCTGCTTATCTACTTTCCTTCTCCAAGGGTGTTAACCATGCAAGGCGGGCGGGGCGGCGGGGGCAAGGGGAGAAGGATTCAGCAGCATCTATGCACACAGCCCTCTTCCCTCTGGGACATGAACAGGTTGGAGTTAAGGAAAAAGGATTGAAAAATAGACAAGGAAGAAGGAGGAAGCTCTACTAAGGGCATTTGCCAAGCATGTAGGTTATTCAACTCTCCCATCCTTTGAAAAGCTTTTTGCCTGAGATGCTTTGCTCCCACTTTCACTCCTCTCAAGAGCATCTCAAGCCAACTACCATTCCCCCCAAGTGTCAAAGTATTTCTGTGACAATGGATCATGGCTCCCATTGCTGCTTTCCATTCCTCCTCCAAATACTTGGCTGTGAATCGAAGGGCCAGCAGCTCTCACGGATTGATAACTGGTTAAAGAGTAAGAATAATAGGTGATTTTCACCTGGATTTAATCAATGGGATCCCACAGGGATCAGGGCTAGGAATGGTGGCTGGTGTATGAATAAAAATTACACCTGGGTAGTAAATTGGCTGTATTTGCTGATGTCAAACTGTTGAGGGTGGAAATATCCAAGAAAGGACTGTGAATGCTTCAAAGGGATGTCTTTCTACTTGGGTGAAAGAATTTGGCAATGGCAAATATAGTCAGTACAGATAATATGATGCACATTGGCATAGAAAACCCCAATGTTACTTTATTGAGATCTGGCCTGACATTTGCTCACCAGGAAAGTGAATGCACATCTAGGCAAATTCTGTGCTTGGTATCATAAAGGAAGGAAGAAATAGAATTGCCAATATTGTCCTATATCAGTCAGTGGTGAGATCACTTGGACAGAGGTGATATTTCTGATCCCTGCATCTTAAGAAAGTGATTATAGAGTAAGATGTTGGAATTTGCAATTGTAGTTTGGTGTCCCTTACACAGGATTGTCCAATGCCTTATTGTCAACTCTTCTATTCTTGCAATTCTTGCATTCTTGAAAAAAATGAGGAAATGAACTTTTGTATGCCAACTTTTCAGCACTCTTTAGAAGAAATCCCTCATCTAACCAGTAAGATGGTTGGTCTGACTTTTGCTTATCCAGTTGTTTCATTCTACAAGTATATTATTAACATCTCTCACTTAAAACTTTTATTTCACCCAGGGTTTTGTGCTACATCATCACTCAGCCTCCCAGAAATGCGATTGCATTTCCTTCTGTCTCTGTTCTCCCAGATAGTTCCTAATTAAAGCAGTAGCCTCAAAAGTGACAACTGCGATATAATCCTCTTTTTTTCCCCCCAATTTGGTATTGAAAATGTTAGATTTTATTGCCCCTAATTGCCTGTCCCATCGCAAGACATTCAGCGGTTCCAGGGTCAAAATGACTCTTCCCAGCTGTATTTAAAATGTTCCTTCGATGAATCAAAGCAGAGAAAAATGGGCAGATGCTTTGAATTATATTTAAAAATCCAGTGGCCTCCCCAGAAACTGATTTAGCATCACTGATGCTCAGTGAATGAGAACCGATTGGATGAATAAAGCTTGATGGTTTGACTCTTGGATCTGTGTGTCCCACTCCTCTTTTATTTCTATTATTGTAGTTCTCTGACCTTTCATGTC